ATTTATATTTTATTCAAAAATAAAATCATTATTTCTTTCTTAAAAACACATAAAATCGTATTATGATATCGATAGAGACAATAATAAAATAGAACATTAAAATCGAGATGTTTTTCGTTGCATTGTGCAAGTACTCTTCTAGTACCTACAAATTGTACTTGAGATGTCACATTGGATGTAAATTAGAGAGTAAATTACAAATTTGATCGCAGTGGTTTGTCGAAAATAACACTTGTCGACCCTGTAATTTTGAAATTACAAGATGGTCATCGTGGTTTATAAAAAACGTCTGGATTTGATGCCTTCCTTTAACATCCGTTAAAAAATTTGTCGTATGATGAGCGTTTTTGTCATTTTTGTCTTTTATCCTATCAAAAACCACAAGAACCAAATTTATAAAATCGATTTTGATTGGATAAAAGACGATAAATCGATAAAATGATGAAAACGCTTTTTATTTAATGGAATTCTTTTAATAACCGTTAAAAGAATGGACTAAATCCAGATCTTTCTGCAAACCACGATAACCATTTTATAATTTTAAAACTAAAAAGATAAAAACTATGATTTTTAACAAACCATATAGACTAAATCTATAGTTTACTCTAAATTATAAGACATTCTTAAAATGATGTAGCTGAGAGTACACCATAGCTAGTTCTATAGATTTCAGTGGAAAAGTTTCATTTGTGTAGTATCTAAATACAAGGGTGGTGTTTGATTGGATTGAGTTTGGCTTCAAAGGTCAAAAGTACCAAGATGTCTCAGGTTCAAATCCAAGGAGGAATAAAAATCCCCTTGTGGCTACGGAGGTTCAAATGCGGTGACTCCGGGCTATTTGCAAAACAGGTGGTCGTCTTGGGATTAGTCGGCTCACATAGCGGGTTGGATATCCAGGTTAATCAAAAAAAAAAAAAAAACAAAGTACCATTGCTATGCAGGAGTGCATAAAAAACAGATGAAACTGTCAAACCATCTAATCTAATCTGAAAAATAGGCCGACTAACCAAGCCAATCTAACCCGATGTTTGTTTGGTTTATAGAAAATATACAAATTGATAGGAGTAAGGTCAGTTATGAGTTAGGTCTATGTCAAACCATACCAACCCTTCAAGCTCGACAAAACTATAGTAGGTAGAAAATTAATGTTATTAATGATTTAATCTGTACTAACATGCACGAGTCGGTAATCCATTAAATGGAAGTCCATTTAACATATCAATAGACTCCTACTAATCTATTAGTGTACTGAGTCTAACTTTTGTTTTTTAACCATAAATAACATGCATGAGGAGACTTGGATGACTAACTAGAAGGTGGTGGCTGATTAGTTTGAGCTTGGCTCCAAAGATTAAAAGTATAAGGAGGTCTCAGGTTTAAATCTAAGGCCGGAGGAATAAATATCTCCTTGTGGCCACGGAGGTTCAAATACAGTGACACTGGGCTATCTGCAAAGCAGGTGGTCGTCCTGAGATTAGCGGCTCACATAGCAAGTTGGATATCCAGGTTAATAAAAAAAAATATGAACCACTAATATTTAATTTTTTTGGTTTAAAATTGTAATATAATCCGTTTTTTAAACATATGTTCAAGCCGTCCAACCCAAACCGAAATGTAATAGGTTGGTTTGGTTATAAATATAAAGAGGGTTGAATGAATTATGATTTCTTAAGCCGAAGTAATTGAATTGGATTGTTCAAATGACCACATTTGATTTCTATTGGCCATTTGTCGGCACTGTTCCCATATTAATTACACGTATTAGAAATTTGCACTTTTCTTAATTATGTCTCTCAGATTGTTATCGTTCAGTAAAGTAGACAATTTGGACCACCCAAGACAAGCCATATACAACCCTAGAGAATTGAACTCGTTATTGATTGAAGGGAATTATCAATTCCTAATCTATTTTACGGAAAGATAACAATTTGAGTGATACTTAAGAAAACTTGTAAATTTCAAATACGTGTAATTCATATGGGAACAATGCCCACAACCCGCCCATAGAAATTATTTTCTTGATGCCGAATCAGAATCTATATAATGGGTTTTTTATTTCAATATTTTCTCTAATTTTAGAAATTTTTATAATTTTAAATGTAGCTTTTAAGAGCACCTCCAACAACTATACTATTTTAGAAATTTTAGAGTTCTGTAAAAAAAATTCCAATGACTTGGTTTTCCCCTAAAAAATCGAGCTCTATTTTTGACTTGTTTGTTGAAATTCTTTAGTCGAATTGTTGGTGGCAAAGACCACATCCTTTTTCTGGTGAACCATACGTCGTCAAAGATAGGAGGGCAAGAGAAAGGTTCGAGTTATGGGCATGGACAGATCTAAAGTTATGGCTATCGTGACCTATGAAACCACATAGTTTAAGTATAATATTTTTTTAATTTTGAAAGTGAAAGAAATAAAATCTAGAGGGATAAGTTATTTTTTTCATCCTTCAAAAAATTTAGTGTTTTTAATTTTTAATTTTATATAATTATAATAGTTAATTTAATTATTTAATTAATAGCTAAAATACATTAAAGAATACATAAACTTTTGTTACAAAATAACACTCTTAGAAAAGGTCTTGTAATATCTTTGAAATTGGCCAAATAGTAAAATTAACTATATATTAACACAAATAAAAAATAACATGAACTTTAACATTAACATTAACGACATACGATGTATGATAGATGCAATATTTAACCTTCATTAAATAAACATTTTCATTGATGTTTTGTTTGAGTTCTCTTAATAAAATTTAGCGTGATTAATAAACTGGAATATTTTATAATGTTTAACGTGAATACAAATTTCTTATCATAGTTTGTTTGGTTAGTGCTAATTTGTTTAGACTGATATAATAGCACTAACATGTTAACTAAATCTTGAGCGTTATCTTATGTATATTTGGCCATTAACCCGGTAGACTTTAGAGTTATTTGTTTCAAAATTAAATTGGATTAAATTTTTAGATTTTATGGTTAATTCATTAATTTAAGACTAACTTTATATGTTAACTTGTTTATATCTGAAGTTAACTCTTTAAATTTGAGGGCTAATCTATATATATTTATAAAGCAGAATCATGATAGGATGATGTGGCATCTCCTCGACGTAAATATCCTATTTTCCTCTTTTTCCACATTTTGACTTTTTTTTCTTAGTAATTTTGCAAATTAATGTTCACATTTAACTCAAAAACTCTCCCCCTTCTCTTGGTATGTTTCAACTTTAATCTTTAAATCCCTCAATCTCTGGTTTTTTTTCCATTTATATGTTCTCCATCTCCATATACGAGCTTTAAACTACTGGTACGCTCTCCCCTCTTCTTTTTCATCTCTCATCTATGGCGAAAGAGTATACACGAATTTATCAATATATGTAAGAAGACATTGGAACCTGGATTAATGAGAAGTCTCCATTGAGGCTTTAGAATTTTGTGAGAATTCTGATTATTTTTGTTTTTGTTGTAGATTCACTTTTGTTTCAATGTTTTTTTTACAGTTTCTTAATTTGTAATTTTGTAAGAAAAAACACCAACAATAAAGTAACATTTTTAGGCATTGCAATCCTAATTTTTTTTTCTCGAACTTTGCTTCTTCTTTTTAATTGATGTAATTATTATCAAAACATTAAATTAATTAGACTATTCATTTTCGTTGGTTACACCCAAATTTTGTGTATTCGTTTCTCTCATATAACTATATTTGTCATTTACATAACAATAATTGAACACACACACACACACATATGTAAGTATTCAATATATATAATCAAAATATCTGTAAACTCATTTATATAAATGAAATTACAATCAATGTATGTGTATTTTTATTTACATACTTGAATATTATATATATATATGTATGTATAT